AACGACGGTCACAAACTACTACATTATTGTCGTCACCATAAACCCTCAACTTCTCCACCGTGGAAACAAAAATTATACTTATTACTACACACCTCAGCCTGGTCAGACACATTATACACACTTACCCCAAGCTAAATTAACCTTACCTTCTCTTACCCCAAGCTAAATTAACCTTACCTTCTCTTACCATAAGCTAAATTAACCTTTACCTTCTCTTACCCCAAGCTAAATTAACCTTACCTTCTCTTACCATAAGCTAAATTAACCTTACCTTCTCTTACCATAAGCTAAATTAACCTTACCTTCTCTTAACATAAGCTAAATTAACCTTACCTTCTCTTACCATTAGCTAAATTAACCTTACCTTCACTTACCCCAAGCTAAATTAACCTTACCTTCTCTTACCCCAAGCTAAATTAACCTTACCTTCTCTTACCCCAAGCTAAATTAACCTTACCTTCACTTACCCCAAGCTAAATTAACCTTACCTTCTCTTACCATAAGCTAAATTAACCTTACCTTCTCTTACCCCAAGCTAAATTAACCTTACCTTCTCTTACCATAAGCTAAATTAACCTTACCTTCTCTTACCCCAAGCTAAATTAACCTTACCTTCTCTTACCCCAAGCTAAATTAACCTTACCTTCTCTTAACATAAGCTAAATTAACCTTACCTTCTCTTACCCCAAGCTAAATTAACCTTACCTTCTCTTACCACAAGCTAAATTAACCTTACCTTCTCTTACCATAAGCTAAATTAACCTTTACCTTCTCTTACCATAAGCTAAATTAACCTTACCTTCTCTTACCTTACCTTCTCTTACCATAAGCTAAATTAACCTTTACCTTCTCTTACCATAAGCTAAATTAACCTTACCTTCTCTTACCCCAAGCTAAACTAACTTAAAACTTAACCTAACCTAACCTAACCCGTGAATATCTAGTAGTTCTGATCATCACCTTATGCACGACAGGCAGCTAATCCTCCAGCCAGGGAGTCAGACAGCTAGTTAATCCTACAGCCAGTCAGCTAATTATCCAGTCACCCAACCACATAATCCTCCAGCCAGGCAGCCAACTAATCCTCCAACCAGACAACCAACTAATCCTCCTGCCAGACAACCAACTAATCCTCCAGCCATACAACCAACTAATCCTCCAACCAGACAGCCAACTAATCCTCCAGCCTGACAACCAACTAATCCTCCAACCAGACAACCAACTAATCCTCGAGCCAACAACCAACCATCCCTCCAACCAGACAACCACCAACCTCCAGCCAAGACAAACCAACTAATCCTCCAACCACAGACAACCAACTAATCCCCCAGCCAGGAAACCAACTAACCTCCAACCAGACAACCAACTAATCCTCCAACCAGACAACCAACTAATCCTCCAGCCAGACAACCAACTAATCCTCCATCCAGAAACCAACTAATCCTCCAGCCAGACAGAACGAAATGAACTACACCGTAGCCAGACAACCAACTATCCTCCAACCAGACAACCAACCAATCTCCCCAGCCAGGAACCAACTAATCTCCAACCAGACAACCAACCAATCTCCAGCCAGACAACCAACTAACGCACCTGAAGAAGAAACTAACTAACTCCTCCTGTCAGGACAAACCAACTAATCCACCAGCCAGACAACCGAACTAATCCACCAGCCAGATAACCAACCAATCCTCCTCCAGCCAGACAACCAACTAATCCTCGAGCCAGACAACCAACTAATCCTCGAGCAGACAACCAACTAATCCTCCAGCCAGACAACCAACTAATCCTCCAGCCAGACAACCAACTAATCCTCCAACCAGATAACCAACTAATCCACCAGCCAGACAACCAACTAATCCTCCAGCCAGACAACCAACTAATCCTCGAGCCAGACAACCAACTAATCCTCCAGCCAGACAACCAACTAATCCTCCAGCCAGACAACCAACTAATCCTCCAACCAGATAACCAACTAATCCTCCTGTCAGACAACCAACTAATCCTCCAACCAGACAACCAACTAATCCTTGAGCCAGACAAATAAACTAATCCTCCAACCAGCTAATCCTTCAACCCTCGCGTGACGTTTCAATCACAAACAACCACTAAATTAAATCACATTAAATAAAACCACCTCACCATGTGGTTTAGCCGTCCCCACGTAATGAAAGACAAGCTATGAAAAAAATCACTGAAATTATCATCCAAGCTAAAAATCTTTGGGGGCCCAGAATTACCCGCTTACACTTCTTGCCCTAATATTGTGGTAGTTGAGGGGTGTAATTGCCCTCTGCACCAGTGAATTACACCCTCTCTACCTTGACCAGCCTGTAATTATCCCATAGTGCACCGGAAACCCTGTAATCAGCACGTGATACGGGCAGTAATTATGGCCTGGGACCTCATTAACTCTACCTCTAAGGAAGAAGAAGAAGAGAGAAAGAAAGGAAAAAAAGGGAGAGAGAGAGAGAGAGAGAGAGAGAGAGAGAGAGAGAGTAATCCGGCACATTCATTCGATAATTACCGGTTACGTTACAGAGTTAAAATGAGGGTTGTATTATCGACAGTGATTAATAGATCCAAGTAGCCCCGATACTGAGAGACGAGAATGAAGGTAAGGGAAAAAGGGGTCAATAAACTAGGACATTCACTCAATAATTACGAGTTACGTTACTGAGTTTAAAAAAAAAAAGGTTACATTATCGAGAGTGATAAATAGACTTGGCTGGCTGGCCCCGAACACTGTATTATGATAGACTCTCGGTTGTAAGTTTCACTCCTATCCTTCCTCACGCTACATAACCCATGGGGCTACCTACCCACCCTCCCACCTCTTCCTCAATCCTCCTCCCTCTCTCTCCCTCTTCTTCAACCCTCTCTCTACCTCTTCTTCTTCAACCCTCCCTCTCTCTCCCTCTTCCCTCCTCCCTCTCTCTCCCTCTTCCTCAATCCTCTCCCCCTCTCTCTCCACCATCTCACCCCTTCCCTATCACCCTCCTCTACCTTACCCCACCCTCCCCCTCCCCTCCTCTTCCTCCTCCCGCCGCACTACATCAGGGTTAAGTAATACCTGGCCTAGACACATAAATCTTGCTGCTCCGCGCTAAAGAGAACCCTAAGAGTATAGCTACATGGCACCTCACCCTTGGCACCCATGGCACCTCGGCCTTGAGATCCATGGCACTTCGCCCTTGGATCCATGGCACCTCGGCCTGATCCATGGCACCTCGATGGCACCTCGCCTTTGAGATCCATGGCACCCCACCCTTGACACCCATGACACTCGCATTTGGGATCCTTAGCACCTCGCCCTTGAGATCCATGGCACCTCGCCCTTGAGATCCATGGCACCCACCCTTGACACCCATGACACCTGCATTTGGGATCCTTAGCACCTCGCCCCTTGAGATCCATGGCACCTCGCCCTTGAGATCCAGAGCACCTCACCCTTGAGATCCATGGCACCTCACCCTTGACATCCATGGCACCTGCATTTGGGATCCTTGGCACCTCGCCCTTGAGATCCATGGCACCTCGCCCTTGAGATCCATGGCACCTGCATTTGGATCCTTGGCACCTTGCATTTGGAATCCTTGGCACATCGCCCTTGAGGTCCATGGCATCTCGCCCTTGGGACCCTTGGCACCTCGCCCTTGGGACCCTTGGCACCTCCTTGTGGGACCCTTGGCACCTCGCCCTTGGGACCCTTGGCACCTCGCCCTTGGCACCCATGGCACCTCGCCCTAACATCGTGTGACTACTCCATAATACAGTTAGTGAAGGCTTTATGGTGCCGCTGATGGCTGCCTCTCGCTCCAAACATCAACTGAGGAATATTGATGTAAAGGCGGCGACCAGAGTCAGTTATTGTGTATGTACAGATGAGGGTTAGAAGTAAAATATCCTAACTAAAACCTGCCTGACCTGACCTGACCTGACCTAACCTAACCTAACCTAACCTGGCCTGGCCTAACCTAACCTTACCTAACCCTCAAAATAGCAATAAGCTGGGGTGACTAACCACCAGATCATCCATATTTAACCTCGATACGAACTAACAACACTTCATTTTAATTCAATATTCACACTAAGTTAACAAATAAATTAAACCCAAACACAAAATTCTCTCCAATTTATGTAAACCTAAAACACAACCTCAAACAAGGGCGTTAAAACAGGACCTAATAAATGTGTCCTTAGTGTCCATTAAACCTTCTCCTACAAGTAAACACGAGCAGAAAAATCACAACCGTATTTATGGACCAATAAACCGAGTCTGGCTACACGGGAAGTTTTAATGAATTCTAAACTTGTGAGGGAATAGAAACGTCAAACCTTCGCGGAAATGTAAACGGCACATCTTCGCGGAAATATAAACGGCACATCTTCGCGGAAATATAAACGGCACATCTTCGCGGAAATATAAACGGCACATCTTCGCGGAAATATAAACGGCACATCTTCGCGGAAATATAAACGGCACATCTTCGCAGAAACACATACGATACACATAGCAGATACATATACCACGATACCTATACATAGTGATACAGATATACATACACCAGATACATAAATACATATACCAAGAGACAAAGAGATGCATACAGTACAACAGTTGGTTAAAACACATGTAAGGACGGACGGATGTAAGGACGGACGGCTGTAAGGACGGACGGCTGTAAGGACGGACGGATGTGGAACGGACGGATGTAAGGACGGACGGATGAGAGACGGACGGATGTAAGGACGGACGGATGTAAGGAACGGACGGATGTAGAGACGGACGGATGTAGAACGGACGGATGTAAGGACGGACGGATATGTAGAACGACGGATGAGGACGGACGGATGTAAGAACGGATAATCATAAGGACGGATAAATATAAGGACGGACGGATGTAGGACGGACGGATGTAAGGACGGACGGATGAGACGGACGAATGTAGGACGGACGGATGTAAGAACGGACGGATGTAAAGACGGACGGATGTAGAGACGGACGGATGTAGGACGGACGGATGTAAAACGGACGGATGTAGGACGGACGGATGTAAGGACGGACGGATGTAGAACGGACGGATGTGAGAGACGGACGGATGTAGAGACGGACGGATGTAAGGACGGACGGATGTGAGACGAGATAAATATGAGACGGATAAGTAAGGACGGACGGATGTAGAGACGGACGGATGGGAACAGACGGATGTAGGGACGGACGGATGTAAGGACAGACGGATGTAGGGACGGACGGATGTAAGGCAGACGGATAAGGACGGACGGATGTGAGACGGACGGATACAAGTAGACGATACAAGAGACGGACGGATATTAGAACGGACAGATGAGACGGACGGATGTAGGGACGGACGGATGTAAGGACGGACGGATGTAGAGACAGACGGATGTAGAACGGACGGATGTAAGGACGGACGGATGTAAGGACGGACGGATGTAAGGACGGACGGATGTAAGGAGGACGGATGTAGGGACGGACGGATGTAGGACGGACGGATGTAAGGACGGACGGATGTAGGACGGACGGATACAAGGCAGACGGATGAGACGGACGGAAACAAAGACGGACGGAAACAAGGACGGACGGATGTAGGACGGACGGATACAAGAACGGACGGATGTAAGGACGGACGGATACAAGGACGGACGGACACAAGGACAGACGGATGCAAGGAAGGACGGACACAAGGACGGACGGATGCTAGGAAGACGGAAGCAAGGACGGACGGACGGGCAGCATGTACGTTTGATAAAAGTAATAAGGTAAAAATATAGGAGATGGTGACAAAGCGAGAGAGAGAGAGAGAGAGAGAGAGAGAGAAGAGATCCTACGTACATGGTTATAAAAACATCAGTTCCCGAGAATAGAAGAAAGAAAGAAGAAAGGAAGTGAGAGAAGGTGATGACAAATGTTGGAGCAAGATGTTGGGGATGGAGATCTTGTTGGAGGAACGAAAGTTGGTGGGGGAGGTGTTGGCAGTAAATGTTGGTGGGGAAAAAATCTTGGCGGAATATATTGGTGGAAATAATTGGCCGGGAAAAGTTGGTGGAAAACGATGAGAAGACGAGGGTGTTGGAGGACGAGGGTGTTGGAGGACGAGGGTGTTGTTGGAGGACGAGGGTGTTGGAGGACGAGGGTGTTGGAGGACGAGGGTGTTGGAGGACGAGGGTGTTGGAGGACGAGGTGTTGGAGGACGAGGGTGTTGAAGGACGAGGGTGTTGGAAGATGAGTTTAAGTTATGTTAGGTTGGGGACTTGGGGCCCAATAGAACTAGGCCCCATTAAATCTGGGGTCCAATCGGCCACCTGTGACTGATTCAGAGACCCATAGACTAGCTCCTTCTGTTGGGTCATTATCACACTCGTTAGCAACTCTCGCCTCTAAAGTGAGTCTTCAAAACTTGCCCAACATTATGCAGACTAAATTCACCTTTGCTCTGGTTAACGACTCAATTCACCTTTGCTTTAGTTAACGTCACACACACACACACACACACACACACACACCTCATTATGGTAAACACTGTCATTTTTATGTTCGAGAGACTGTGACTCCCTTCAGTAACTGGCCTGTGATAATTAGTGAGGGAGGAGGAGGAGGAGCCAGTCAAGTTTACACTCGCAAATCACCAACTTTCTTCCTCAAACAATCCACTAATTGCCTTTCCTCCTAATTACCTCTCCTTTAATTACCTTCCCCGTTATTTTTGTTTCTGTTAATGATCTTTCCCTTTAATTACCTTATTCGTGTTTAACCCGTTAATTACTTCGCTCCTAATTACATTTCTCTTGCTTGGCTCTTGATCAATTACCTTACCTTAATTACCTCCCTATTGTTCCCATTCCTAATTACCTCCCAGTCTCCTAATTAGTAAAGGTGAGAAGAAAGGCCTAACTAATTACCTTTATCACACCTGTAAAATCATCCTCTCACTTCTCGTTTCACTAATTACTACTTAACTCAGGTGTAATGACCCACAAGCAGGTAATATTTACAAAGTTAAAAAGGGAATATGTTTTGGAAACTAACTTTTTTTTAATTAACCTTAACTCACCTAACCTAACCTAACCTAACCTAACCTAACCACAAGTGACCTGAGAACATAAGTTGGATAATACTGGAGTCGTACGTCGTTGTGTCCTTTATCGTGCGTCGTGTCCGTTATCGTGCGTCGTGTCCGTTATCGTGCGTCGCGTCCGTTATCGTGCGTCGTGTCCGTTATCGTGCGTCGTGTCCGTTATCGCGCGTCGTGTCCGTTATCGTGCGTCGCGTCCGTTATCGTGCGTCGTGTCCGTTATCGTGCGTCGCGTCCGTTATCGTGCGTCGCGTCCGTTATCGTGCGTCGTGTCCGTTATCGTGCGTCGTGTCCGTTATCGCGCGTCGCGTCCGTTATCGTGCGTCGTCGTTATCGTGCGTCGCGTCCGTTATCGTGCGTCGCGTCCGTTATCGTGCGTCGTGTCCGTTATCGTGCGTCGTGTCCGTTATCGTGCGTCGTGTCCGTTATCGCGCGTCGCGTCCGTTATCGCGCGTCGTGTCCGTTATCGTGCGTCGTGTCCGTTATCGTGCGTCGTGTCCGTTATCGTGCGTCGTGTCCGTTATCGCGCGTCGCGTCCGTTATCGTGCGTCGTGTCCGTTATCGTGCGTCGTGTCCGTGCGTCGTGTCCGTTATCGCGCGTCGCGTCCGTTATCGTGCGTCGTGTCGTTATCGTGCGTCGTGTCCGTTATCGTGCGTCGTGTCCGTTATCGTGCGTCGTGTCCGTTATCGCGCGTCGCGTCCGTCCGTTATCGTGCGTCGTGTCCGTTATCGTGCGTCGCGTCGTTATCGTGCGTCGTGTCCGTTATCGTGTCCATGTTCTTGGTCGCCTTAAGAACTGAGATGAGTTTAATAATAACAAAGATCTGATTAGTTTAGCCAGAGGGGAGGGCAGGGGCAGGGGAGGGCAGGGGGAGGGGCAGGGGAGGGGCAGGGGCAGGGGGAGGGGTAGGGGGCAGGGGAGGGGCAGGGGGAGGGGCAGGGGGAGGGGCAGGGGGGGGGCAGGGGGGGGGGGGGGAGGGGCAGAGGGAGGGAGGGGAGGGGGGGGGCAGGGGGAGGGGCAGGGGAGAGAGGGGTATAGGGTTCTCGGGTACACATCGCCTGGTCGACCTGTTGTGTAGTTCATAAACTGATCTGTAAATACAATACCGTATACTATTAACCGTAAATATCTTCCTTAACTCTCCTTAAGAAGTCAACAATGATTACCGAGTTTCTCACACACACACACACACACACACACACACACACACACACACACACACACACACACACACACACACACACACACACACACACACACACACACACACACACACACACACACACACACACACACACACACACACACACACACACACACACACACACACACACACACACACACACACACACACACACACCCACACACACACAAGAACAGTTGGAAAAAGACAACAGTACAAAGAACAAACTATAAACAAGAGCAGTGGCAAACAACAAACAAAAAAAGAGCAGAGAGCCAAGCCAGTCAGCCACCCAGCCAGCCAGACACCCAGCCAGCCAGCCAGCCAGCCAGTCAGACACCCAGCCAGCCAGCCAGCCAGCCAGCCAGCCAGCCAGCCAGCCAGCCAGCCAGACACCATTGCGGTAGAAGACAATCACCATTCATCACATCAACACGACATTTAATTCATGTATCATACACCACTAATAAACCAGTCAGGTGTACCGGCCCAGATCACCTGTGTGTGTGTACCTGACCCACACCGGCGAGATGAAGTGAGCAGACCAGTCCAGTCTGTCTATCTGTCTGTCTGCTCTATCTGTCTGTCTGTCTGTCTGTCTGTCTGTAAGGTAAACATGTTTCAAGCAATAACTCGAGGACAGTAATAGATACAGAGTTCAAACTTGGTGTATAAATCCCCTGTGACAAGTTCTAGAAGGGTCAAAGGTCAAGGCCAAACGCATTCTCAAGGTCATCTTTGTGCCGAGGTTTTAGTGACCCAATAACATAAGTTCATATATCCCTATCTATGGCAGACGTTGTACACCTGTCTCTCAGCGCTCACCTGTCTCTCAGCGTCCACCTGTCTCAGCGCTCACCTGTCTCAGCGTCCACCTGTCTCTCAACGCTCACCTGTCTCTCAGCGCTCACCTGTCTCTCAACGCTCACCTGTCTCTCAGCGCTCAACTGGCTCTCAGCGCTCAACTGTCTCTCAGCGCTCAACTGTCTCTCAGTGCTCAACTGTCTCTCAGCGCTCCTTATCTCTCAGCGCTCACCTGTCTCAGCCTCACCCGTCTCTCAGTTCCCACCTGATCTCAGCTCTCACCAGTCTCTCAGCTCTCACCTGTCTCTCAGCGCTCACCTGTCTCTCAGTTCCCACCAGTCTCTCAGCGCTCACCTGTCTTTCAGCTCTCACCTGTCTCTCAGTTCCCACCTGTCTCTCAGTTCCCACCTGTCTCTCAGTTCCCACCTGTCTCTCAGTTCCCACCTGTCTCTCAGCTCTCACCTGTCTCTCAGCGCTCACCTGTCTCTCAGCTCCCACCTGTCTCTCAGTTCCCACCTGTCTCTCAGCGCTCACCTGTCTCTCAGCTCTCACCTGTCTCTCAGTTCCCACCTGTCTCTCAGCGCTCACCTGTCTCTCAGCTCTCACCTGTCTCTCAGCATCATCAGTAAACAACACCTCACTCACCTGTTGTATGGGTCTAAGTCTTAAATAAACATCTATGTGTAGAGAGGAATGTGTTGGCAACTCTCAGCCGGAGAGAGAGAGAGCCACTACACCCCAGAACACCTCACTACACCCCAGAGACCCGCCTACACCCGACCATAACACCCACAGTCACGACAAACCCACTACACCTACACCACCTCACTACACTCTATGACATCCGACAACACCTACACCACATAACACTTCCTACACCCCACACAACACCTACACCCCCACACCACCTACACCCCACACAACACCTACACCCCACACAACACCTACCTACACCCCACACAACACCTCCTACACCCCACACAACACCTACACCCCACACAACACCTCCTACACCCCACACAACACCTACACCCCACTACTCCCCAGGCAGGAAAAGGTAGAAGGCAGCTAAGAGAACACAGGTAAACAAGGCGAAGATTAGGACAGGTAAGGCCCCGTAAAGGAAGGTAAAACTCAGGTATATTAAGTAATTATGGGAGGGAGGGAGGGAGACGATGTGGAACAGGGGGTAATACTGAGAGAGAGAGAGAGAGTGTCGTAGATGGTAGTCGTGGGCAGTAATTCATAAGTCTAAGTCATGGTCGGTGGTCGTGGGTGGTGGTCGTGTGGGTGGTAGTCGAGTCTTAAGTAATGGTCGGTGGTCATGGGTGGTCGTGCGTAATGGTAGTGGGTGGTGGTCGTGTGGGTGGTAGTCGACAGTCATAAGAAATGGTCGGTGGTCGTGGGTGGTCGTGGGTAGTGGAGCACGACCCCCCGGCGGTAGATTCAATTACCCTCATCAGCGGCCGCCGACCTCAACCGCCCTTACTAGTAGCCAGCCGCCCTCAGCCGTCCTTACTAGTAGCCAGACGCCTTCAGCCGCCCTTACTAGTAGCCAGACGCCTTCAGCCGCCCTTACTAGTAGCCAGCCGACCTCAGCCGCCCTTACTAGTAGCCAGACGCCTTTAGCCGCCCATACTAGTGGCCAGCCGCCTTCAGCCGTCCTTACTAGTAGCCAGACGCCTTCAGCCGCCCTTACTAGTAGTCAGCCGACCTCAGCCACCCTTACTAGTAGCCAGCCGCCTTTAGCCGTCCATACTAATAACCAACCGCCTTCAGCCGCCCTTACTAGTAGTCACCAGTAATACCTCAATACTACGCTAGATTTCAGACATAGGATGTGTTGGAGATGTACTCGAGTATCCCATAAGCAGTGATCACAGCATCCCCAAAATTACTCACAACATCCCGAAATGCTCACAACAGCCCTAAAATGCTCACATCCCCAAAATTCTCACATCCCTAAAATTACTCATAACATCCCTAAAATTACTCACAACTTCCCTAAATTTACTCATAACATCCCTAAAATTAGTCACAACATCCCTAAAATTACTCATAACCTTCCCTAAAATGTTCACAACACACCTACATTTACTCATAACATCCCAAAAATGACTCACATCCCAAAATGCTCACAGCATCCCCCAAATGCTCACATCCCTAAAATTACTCACAACATCCCTAAAAGGCTCACAACATCTCCATAATGCTCATATCATCCTCCAAATGCTCACAACATCCCCAAAATGCTCACAATATCCGATAAATGGTCACAAGTTGAAGTCACAACATCCCTAAAATTACTCGCAACATCTCTAAAATGCTCACAACATCCCTAAAGTCTCACAACATCGTCAAATACCTGAATAGGATCAACAACACGGGCTGATGATTCGCGCCTCACCGCCTGCCTTCACCTCCAGCCAATTAAGGGAAACTCGTAAGTAATATTTGGCTGAACTTGAGTCCGAGTGAGTACGGTGTATTATTGAGTTCGGGTGAGTACGGTAGTGAGTGTACTGCTGAGTCCGAGTGAGTACGGTGTATTATTAAGGTTCGGATGAGTACGGCAGTGAGTATACTGCTGAGTCTGAGCGAGTCTAGCAGAGGCTGTATTACTGAGTCCAGGTTGACTCCAGCATACGTGTATTATTGAGTCCGGGTGAGTCCAGGGGTGTACTACTGAGTTACACCTCTACACACATCCCACTCCCTCTTCTTCCCTCCCCTTACCCCACACTTCCCTTCTTCACCCACACTTGCAGGTAGAAGGCAGCTATCAAACAGGGAGGTACTACCGCCTGGGAAGATATTGGAAGCATAATGTGTTGTTTAATGGTAGACCCTGCTGCCATATGGCATCACGAAATTGTAACCAAGTCCCAGGTTGTTGATCTGACTTTCTGCCTCATTTACACACAATTGCAGGGTCTCAATTGGTTCTCTTACTATTGACAACACAACATACATATATTGTTTCTCACTCTTGATATTTTTATTTTCTGTTTTTGTATTTATTTATGGCTCGTTATTATTACAGGGGGTATTATTATTATTATTATTATTATTATTATTATTTATAATTTTTATAAATTTGTATTATTATTATTATTATTATTATTATTATTATTATTATTATTATTATTATTATTTTCTTTTATTATAATTATTTATTTTTAAATATTGTTATTAATTTTATTAATATTTTTTTCTTTTATTATAATAGTTATTAATACATTTTGTTATTAATTTTATTACTATTATCATCATCATCACCATCATCATAATTATTATTATTATTATTTTATTACATTATATTTTCGCCCCCCAGGCCTTGATGTGGGTCATTAAAAATGACCTATGCGGAGTGATGTCGAAAAAACCTTCCCTCCCTTGCCCCCACTTCCTTTCCCTCCCTTCTTCCCCACTTCCCTCCCTGCCCTTCTTCCACTTTCCCTCCCTGCCCTTCTTCCCCCACTTTCCTCCCCTGCCCTTCTTCCCCACTTTCCCTCCCCTGCCCTTCTTCCCCACTTTCCCCTCCCCTGCCCTTCTTCCCCACTTTCCCTCCCTGCCTTCTTCCCCTCTTTCCCTCCCTTGCCCCCCAGGCCACCCTTCCTGCCAGTCAGTGAAAAGACCTCAGTAGATTGAGATGGTCTCCACAGGGTCTCTAAAAGCTCATTTAAAGCACTTTTTCAAAATGGGGAGGAGTGGGGTGGGAGTAAGTGGGTGTGAGGAGGAGTGGGAGTGGTGTAGGAGAGTGGGTGAGTGTGAGGAGGTGGGGGTGTGGGAGGTGGGGTGGGTGGGAGTAGGGTGTGGGGAGGTGGGGTGGGTGTGGGGGTGGGTGTGGGAGGTGGGGTGGTATGGAGGTGGGTGAGGAGGTGGAGTAGATGGGAGGGTGAGTGTGGGGAGGGTGAGAGGTGGAGGGGTAGGGTGAAAAGGGAGAGGAGGAAAACTGGGGAGAGGAGGGAAGGGAGTGGAGGAGAGGGAAGCTTGTAGACGACAACGACAACAACAACAACAACAACAACAACAACAACGACAACAACAACTACGACAATAATAATAAAACCAATCAACTCAATAACAACAATAATAACAAATAATAAACAATAACAATCCTAAAATGAATACAATAACACGAACAAGAACAAACAAATTAATATAGAAATTCCAAAAATGGGACCAAAGTGACTCTGAGACTCTACCTAACTAACCTAACCTAACCCTAACCTAACCTAACCTAACCTAACCTAACCTAACCTAACCTAACCTAACCTAACCTAACATAACTTGAATACTTCTGAATAAAATCCCAGAGTCTGTGAGAAATTTACCAACAAGGAAAAATCTATTAAAAAAAAGCTTAAAATTATGGAAACAGTGAAGTCTCTCTCTCTCTCTCTCTCCCCTCCAGGTGGTGTTGGCCTCACCCCCACCTCACCATCTCTCTCTCTCTCTCTCTCTCTCTCTCTCTCTCTCCCTCCCAGGTGGTGTTGACAGCCTCACCCCACCTCACCATCGCTCCATTCAAGGGATGAAATATTGGCCCTTATAAACACTAGTGACTGTCGCACCTTTAGCTAGGGATATATTGGAGTGTTGAGCCATTAACTCAGGCTTTTAGAGACGGGTCGCATTGGGCGTTTATGGAGGGATGGGGGGAGGGGGAGGGATGGGGAGGAGGGAGGTGGGAAGAGGGAGGGGGAGAGGGAGGTGGAAGGGAGGAGGAGGGAGGGAGAGAGAGGGAGGAGGGGAGGGGGGAGAAGAGAGGGAGGGGGAGGGGGAGAGGAGGGAGGGAGGGGGAGGAGGGAGGAGGAGAGAGAGGGAGGAGGAGGGAGAGGGGAAGAGAGGAGGGAGAGGAGGAGAGGTGGGAGAGAGAGGGAGGAGGGAGGGGGAAAAGAGGAGGGAGAGGGAGGGAGGAGGGGGAGGAAGATGAGAGAGAGGGAGGAGGGAGGGGGAGGAAGGGGGAAGGGAGGAGAGAGGAAGATGGGAAAGAGGAGGAGGAGAGAAGGGAAGGGAGGGAGGAGAGAAGGGGAAGGGAGGGAGAGAGGGGAGGAGGGAGGAGGAAGGAAGGTGTCTCAGATCCCCACAATACATCGACAGGTTAGGAAAAATCTCTTTATCGACTATATTTTTATCTCTCCATTATCTCTGTCTCTCACACACACTCTCTCTCTATCTCTTTATCTCACAATCGCTGTCTCACTCTCTGTCTCTCATTATCTCTCACTGTCTCTCTCACACACACACTCTCTCTCTCTCTATTCTCTTTATCTCACAATCACTGTCTCACTCTGTCTCTCATTATCTCTCTCTCTTCTCTCTCTCTCTCCACACACACACACACACCTAGATCACCCCTACCACCATTCCCCAGCCACTACCACCACTACCACCTTTCCATCTTCCTCTACAACTATCACCACTACCACAGTCCCCGATACTAAAGGGCCCCAATCTAACATAACCTATCATGACTGGGGCCCATTGGATTAGGGTCAGTCCTAGTGATTAGGTTAGGTTAGCATGGGGCCCATTGGTCTGGGGCCCACTTAATCCTGAATCAATAAGCCTCCCCTCACCCCTCCCCAACACCCATCTTGTACTCATGCTTCCCTCCTTCCCTCTCTCTCATCTCCTCTCCTTTCCCTTCTCCTGCCCTTCCTTCCTTCTCACCTCTCACCCATTACCCATTTATCACATTCCTTATCTCTACATTTCCCTCTTCCTCCCTTCCTTCCCCCTCACAAGCTTCCTTCCTTCCCACGTTTTCCTTCTCCCCTCCTTCCCCCCTTAGCAACCCCTCCCCTCCTCTCCCATCTCCTAAACATCATATCTTTCTTCACTCCTCTCTGCCCTTTTCTGGTATCTGTCTCTCTTCCTCCCCCCTTCCTTCCTTCCTCCCCCCCCTTCCTTCCCCTTCCCTACTTTTTATCACCCCCCCTCCCCCCCGACACACCTGGGCAGGTCGCCTTATAAATCATGAAACTGGTTGATTGTGTGTGTGTGTGTGTGTGTGTGTGTGTGTGTGTGTGTGTGTGTGTAAAGTCATATCTCACTAACGTCACACACACACACACACACCTACCTAACACACACACACACACACACACACACACACCTAGTGACTAATTAGCCCCATTATCTCACTAAATTACGTCGCTGTGTACTTTCAATGTTAATATGATCTTCCATTATACAGAAGTACGTGCTTAGTGTACGTGTTTGTGTACATGTTTTGTATACGTGTTTACTGTACGTGTTTAGTGTACGTGTTTAGTGTACGTGTTTTGTGTACGTGTTTTGTGTACGAGTTTTGTGTACGTGTTTAGTGTACGTGTCTCATACATACAGCAATAACACCTTATAAACGCTCTCTCTCTCTCTCTCTCTCTCTCTCTCTCTCTCTCTCTCTCCTCAATGCACATATGACCTCATTGCCCTCAACTTCTCAGTGAATCAATCCATTGTCCCATTCACCGTCAACTCCACTCACTCATACGTCATCCATTGCCTCATCCAGTCCATCACACCTCATCCAGTCCCTCACATCTCATCCAGTCCCTCCACTCATCCAGTCCCTCCACACCTCATCCAGTCCCTCACACACCTCATCCAGTCCCTCACCTCATCCAGTCCTCACATCTCATCCACTGCCTCATCCATTCACACACCCCATTCACTGCCACACACACACACACACACACACACACACACCACAGAACAATTTCCATTAATTTAAAACATCAGCTCAAACTTAAAACACGAAAAACACAATGGGGAAAAAAGGAAAAAGAAAAAA